CTTTTTCCTGATGAATTTTTAGTTTCTTGTAGTGCAGGTTTGCTGGCAATGAAGTCTCTCTGCTTTTGTTTTATTTACAAAGTGTTTGTTTTACCTTCATTTTAAATTTTTTGTTTTGAAAAACTATAGACTCAGAGACTCACAAGAAGTTTCTAGGTTCACCATAGTGGTTTCCCTTCTGTCAAGAATCACAGTTCTGAACAGTCTGAAAACAGTTGTTTCATATATTTTTGCCCAATTTCTAGTTGCCTACAGTGGGAGGTGAGCCCATTCATCATGCCTAGAAGTAGAAGTCTCACTTTGATTATTAATGGAGATCACAGGCCGCAGTGGTTCTATACATTCTGCTTCTGCACTTGGCATTGCTGTTGAGGATGTTCATATGTCACTCACTAGCCCCCATCTAATACCTCACTTCATAAATGAGCTAAATAATATATATAATAATATATATAATACACTAATTTATATATATATATATATAGATATATAACAATAATGCCTATTTCTTCTGTTTTTTGCCCTGTCTGCAAGGAAAATCAGTCAAGATTTGCACTAGATCATTGCAGTTTTGTTGACCTAGAGGTGACACATTTGCATTCTTGTTTTCCACTTAATCTTTTTTCCTTTTTATTCCTATTAATGTATTTATAAAAGCAGTAGCCTGCACCCCTATAAGCACATTTTTTCCTCTCTTTCCCTCTCATTCATTTCTCTGTGTTAGGTATTTTTTTGATTGCAAGGAATAGAGACCTTGTGATTGCCTTTAAGTAACTGAGTTTAAGGATTTACAGAAGATCAGACAACGACATAGCCAGTTCTTATAGTAAAAAGAATTAGCCATAGATCCATGCTCCATGCCCCCTCAGAAATGGGTGCCTCTGTTACCTATTCAGGTTTTCCTTGCTGAGTTAATGATTCTCATACTTCTAATCTTTCTCTGTGACCAGTGCTTCTGCTGCTCTCTCTTAGCTGTCTCACGTGTGTCCGTTCTCTCTTCGAGTCCTGCCTGTGTGTTTTTCTCTCTCATTCTCATTACTAAAGCTCGCAGTCACATTCCGAAGGAGAGTATCTGATTTATTCACTTGATGACCTGTTGGTGCCAGGCCAGCTCATGGGTCATGAGTCATCAGAGAGATTCTCTGTTCGTGGGTCTTGTGCCACACTTAATTGAACAGGGTCACGTGCAAAGTATGGTGACCTCTAAAACCTGGCAGAAGGGCCACTGGTAGAGCACGTGTTCAGCATCTTCCATTCTTCCTCCTTAACAGTCGATTGACCTAACTTATTAGGGACAGTTACTAGACTGAATTGTCCCCAAAACTAGTCAGCTACATATTTATAGATTAAGGTTTAGATGAATTGCTTATCTCATTCCTGTAATGTTAAGGTTTTTTTTTCCTCTTTCATTCTTAGATGAATTTCATTCTTAGGCACAAAACAAAGGACAGTCTTTGCCACCTTTTAGCCACAACTTAAAATAAACCCATGGTACTGATTGTTGGTCCAAGAAAGCCCATCTGTTAGAGACTGTGAAGAGAAAATTCAAACATTTCCATTCTTGTTAGCATCTCTAAATTTGGCAGAAGAGATAGGAGCCATGAGCTGAAATAAGGTTTTTGGATTATTAGCTCCACCTGGGTTTGAATCCTGGCTTTCCCATTTACAAGATGATAGAGGAGTATCTTTTTTAAGCTTCAGTTTAATCATGAATAAAATGGAGATCATGGTATTTGCCTTGTGTGGTGGTTAGGATTAGATGATAGGATGAATACAAAGCATTTAGCAAAGTGCCTGGCACATAATACATGCTTGATGTAGATCATTAAGTCTTACTAAAAAAGGTTACCCTAGTCCATCAGTAAGTTCTTAGTGCTAAGGAAAAGTAACATTTCTTGGTGCATGAGCTGAGATCTGATCATTGAGCCCTTGTTCACTCAGCACCGTGCGCCGTACCAACTGTATACAAGAGACATACTGTGATGTGATTCTTGCCTTCTCATCCCCACTATGATATGTCAGTCCTGGAAAAATTTTTAAGGAAATTCAACTCGATGATGGTATTAATACTGTTAGAATTCAGACTGTTACTAACTGTATGACCTTGAGCAGATTGTTTCTCTGTCTTCATCTGTGAAATGGAAAACCTCAGAGGATTACCATAACAATGAACAAATGAGTTAATGTATGTAAAGCTCATAGGATACTGTCTGATGGCAGTGGTAAGTGCTATATGTAAGTTTCTTCTGCTAGATTATGACTCCTAGCAGATTAATACTTGAAGCCTCCTTGGGCTTAATCGACCAGGTTTTTTTGTTTGTTTGTTTTTCTTTTTCAACCCTTTGAGTTTAAAGTGAATAGGTTTCTTTGTAGGGGGCGTATAGTATATCTTTAGCCTCCATCATCAGGGCAATTTTATAGGATCTAGCTGGTAAAAGATGAGTGAGCTGAAGGACATGGTCTGTAGATAATCTTGTTTTCATTCTGAGATTGGATACCATAATATCTTATCTTGCCAGCCCTCCTTTGGTGATGCTTTGGCAGGAAAAACATCTCTCGAAAGTCCTACAAAGCTGGTTTTTCCCCCTCACTGAAATGTTTTTTTTGCAGACCTAAAACGATTGGGGTGCTCGTTAATGTGAATGTAGGATATGGGAAAGGCAATTTGATTTGAGACCTTTGATTTTAACTCAATAGGCAAGGGATTTTCTAATCTAAAGCTACTTCCCTTCTTAAAGGAAAAATTATTTTCTGATTTGTATTTTCTTCTCAAGAAGTGAGATTAAGGGGCACCTGGGCAGCTTGGTTGGTTAAGTGACTGCCTTTAGCTCAGGTCATGATCTTGGAATCCCAGGATCAAGTTCCCCATTGGGCTCCCTCCTCAGCAGGGAGGCTGTGTCACCCTCTGACCTTCACCCCTCTCATGGTCTCTCTCTCTCCTATCCTCTCTCTCTCAAATAAAATCTTTAAAAAAAGAAAAAGAAAAAAGTGAGATTAATGTTTTTTCTTCCCATATTAGTGAGATTGAACATCTTTTCATTATGTTTATTGATCATTTGTATTACTTTCTGAATTGCTTATTCATGTCCTTTGACCTCTTTTGTTTATGAGGAGATAACTCCTGTAGAGTGAGGACATTAAAACTTCACCAGATATGATTCAGATGTATTTTTCATTTTGTCATTTGTCTTCTTTTACCCTTGGGTATACTTTTTTAGCTGCACAGAAGCTTGTAATGAATCTATGTTTTTCCTGAAGAGTATCCTCTCGTTATGGATAGAGAATTTCTGCTGAGTGCTATGAAACATGTCATAGTATATGTGTAGACTGATCCACTTAATAAACATTTTTCCTTACAGAATGGTGATTGATTGTCATATGATTCGAAGAGTCTTTGCAAACTGACGTAGGTGTGAGGCTCTAATGCCGTAGCAATAGCCAGCACATACTGCGCAACAGCTTTGTGTCAGGCACTATACTGAGTCTTGTATGTACTGTGTTCCTAATGTTCAGCTTCATGCTAGATAGTATTATTGTCTGGGTTTCATAGATGAGTCAGGTGGGCCTAGAAGAAGTCAAATGATTTGCCCAGGATCACAGAGGTGGTTAGTGGCTGAATTGGAATTTTAATTTAAGTTTGTCTGACTTCAAAGTATATACTTTCTCTACAAAGCTCAACTACTTAAGGCCTCCAATAAGTTAGACTGGTCCTTAAAGTTAAGTAAATATCTTTTACCAGAACCGGAAAAAATGGTCCGAAGCCTGGTTCAGCTGCTTTTGGTTTCTGAGCGCATAGTGGAGAAGATACTGAGCTGTGTGTGTGCTAGGTAAAAGAAAAGTCTCTACTGTCCAGGGCATTGGTTTTCAAGGTGTGGTTCCAGGCCAGCAGCATCAGCATCACTTGGACATTTCTTAGAAATGCAAAATCTCAGGTTCCACTGGAGACCTACAGAATCAGAAACTCTGGGGTTGGGGCCCAGTAATCTGTTTTATAATACTTCTGCTGATTATGATGCATGTTAAAATTTGAGACTCACTGGTCTGGGGAAGTTATTTTGTTCTCTCTAATCATAATTTTTGTTTTTGCAAGTTTCAACCTAAGTCTCAGCCCTGACGTGCAAAATTAACATTATCAGATGATGGCAAAAGTATGGAGTCAGACAGGAGTTAGTTTTGAGTTTGGTTTATTGAGCATTTAAGGCAAGTCCACCTCCCTGAGCCATAGTTTCCACTTTCCAAAAAGATGTTAATAACATCTGTCTCCATATGAGATTTCTTTTCTTTTTTTTAGAATTAGGTAAGATAGTATATAAAGTGCATAGCACCTTGCCAGGCTCCCAGGTGCTTGAGAAATTGCCTCCAGCAATTTTTCTTATTTAGCAAAAAGCCCCCATCTGCCTTCTGTTCTCAGCCTCTCTCATTTCTTGAACGTATTTTGCTGTCTTGTATCTCTGGGCCTTTGTATTAGCTATGTCTTTTGGATACCTGCACCCCCTGCCCCCTTACCTCACTAACTTCTAGACATCTTTTTGATCCCTGATTCCGGTTTACCTCCCCTGTAGAGGGCTTTCTCAAACCCCCGCCCTCCAGTCTCTGTGCTCACACAGGAACCTGTGTTTCTCTGGTCATTGCACTTACTGCAAGTTTTGGAGTTGCCTCTCTCCTATATAAACTTCATGAGCGCAGATAACAGCATCTTGTCTACCACCATATTCTAGAGATAGTAAACTTCCTCACGCATTGTAGGAGCTAATAAGTGTTGAATGAATAATGGTGGCTGTCATTATTGCTGCTCCATCATCATCATCATCGTCATCGTCATCATCTGAGAGCAAGCTCCCCTCCCTGGCTTATAGTTTTTGTGCTGACTGCTTGTGATAATCATAGATAGTATTAGGACCAGTGCCTCTTCTCTCTTGCCCTGAAAGCACGTGCTTTGACATAGGCTGACATGGGAGTTCACTGAGCTGCTTCCTAACCACGATCCCTCTGTGTCACAGGTGCCTTGGGGGAACTGTATGCCCTGATGGGTCAAGTTCATCACATGCAGAACCCAAAGTGGCAACATCCTTCGGACCTCACCATGAGGTAAGTGGGTGATTAGGAGGAGGAGGAGGAAAGGGGTAGAATTCGGCTGTAGGAAGAATGTTAAAGGAAGTTGGGTTGTGATTATTGTTTAGTTCCAAAGGTGGGGAAAGAAACAGGAGAGTATAATGAAATAAGAACTAAGCTGAGGGCCGCCTGGGTCGCTCAGTCAGTTAAGCGGCTACCTTTGGCTCAGGTCATGATCCCAGAGTCCTGGAATTGAGCCCCCCATCAGGCTCCCTGCTCAGCGGGGAGCCTGCTTCCCCCTCTCCCTCTGCCTGCTGCTCTGCCTACCTGTGCGCTCTATCTGCTACCTATCTCTCTGTCAAATAAATGAATAAAATGCTTAAAAAAAAAAAAAAAAAACTGAGCTGAAATCCAGGAAATGTGGGGTCCAGTATTAGCTTTGCAGTTTGTAACTCAGCTGTATGATTTTGATCAAGTCATGCCACTTCTTTGGTCCTCAAATCACTAAAACTAATATGTTGGACTAATTGATGTCAAAGGGACTTTCTATTCTGGAATCTTCTGGATTCTTGATGTAGTATGGTTTTACAGATTTATTCAGTTACTTTGATCCAGTTACTGAGAAACCTTGGAGTCATCTTTGACTCCTTTCTCACCCCATATTTTCAGCCCATTAGCAAATCCCATAAGCTCTGCATACAAAATATGTCCAAAACCTGACCATTTCTCATCATTTTCACTTAGACTATTGCAAGTCTCCTAAATGGTCTCCCTGCTTCTGCCTTTGCCTGCCATTCTTAACTCAGCAGCCAAAGAGGTTCAGATTCTCTTCTTTGCTCAGAATTTTCCAGTAGCTTCCCATCCTCACCATTCCCCATAAGGACCATGGCTGGGGCTGATGTGGTTAGCTCACTGACCTCACACCTACTACTCCTCCCCTTGCTCATTCTGCACTAATCACATGGACTTCCTTGTTTGTTCTTTAATTTAATTTGACTAGCCTTCTTTTTTCCCTTTTATTTATTTGATAGACAGAGATCACAAGTAGGCAGGCAGGCAGAGAGACAGAGGGGGAAGCAGGCTACCCGCTGAGCAGAGAGCCCGATGCGGGGCCTGATCCCAGGACCCTGAGATCGTGACTTGAGCTGAAGGCAGAGGCTCAACCCTCTGAGCCACCTAGGTGCCATGCTATTTTTCAAATATGGCACACATGCTTCCACTTCAGGGCCTTTATACTCAGTGTTTCCCCTATAGTTGCCAAAATCATAGCAGGTCTCAGAAAGACAGGGCAGTATGATGGGTATTAGATGAATCCTAGAGACAGACAGGTGTGAATTCAAATCCAGGCTCTTCTACTTACTCCACTTTATGACCTTGGACAAGTTATTCAACCTGAGACTCAGTTTCCTGACCAGTCAAGATATTAATGAGAGTGCTTTTCTGATAAGATTGTTATTAGCATTAAACAAAGTGAAGTATTGAAAGAATTCAGCAAGTATTTCATATAGGGCTAGATAAATGTCATAAAATGTTATAGTTATTTTCAACTCTGGCTACTGACAATGCCTGTGGAGATGTCTAAAAATACAGATGTCCAGGCGCTGCCTTCAGAGGATTCAAAGTCATTAAGTTAGAGGGTGGGAGCAAGAATCTTTACTTTTAAAAAGCTTCCCAGGGGGTTATTAGGAACAGCTGGAGTTGAGAATGAGATCAAATTATCTCAGAGGGTCTTATTCAGAACCCTAGCCTAAAAGACTAGGGTGATTAAAGGAGAAGCTCAAGAAGCTTTACTTTGAGTCCTTGCTATTAATTATTCAGTCTCTAAACTTGCAATGTGATACTCACATGATGACTTACCTTCTCTGGGAATTTTACTCTAAAATTAACTGCTCTGTCCTGAGCAACCTTGAGCTGTATCAGACAATGAGGTCCTGTTGGAGGTACAGATCTGGTGCAACCAATGAAATACAGATCCTGTTTTAAATGTTTCTTGAAGGAGAAAATATTTTTCCTACTGAAACATTATTACAGATTATATATTAGGTTTTCTTAACATTCATGTATATGGCACATACCACCATAATGCCTGTGTGGCAGCTGGCTTTGGGAGTTGGAAGAAAATAGCACTTACATTGTGACTTTCACATAAATAAAATGTAGTATAGATAATTTCTAAAATTGTCAGGATTGAAATGTAAAATCAGTATCTGATACCCCAAAGGTAAAGATACTCTTTTTTTTTTTCTTTTTAAGGATTTTTTAAAAAATTTATTATTTTGAGAGAGCATGAGAGAGAGAGAGCCAGAGAGAGCACAAGCAGTGGGGAGGGAGTAGAGGGAGAAGCAGACTTTGCGAAGCAGGGAGGCTGAAGCGGAACTCGATCCCAGGGAACTGGGATCATGACCTAAACTGACAGCGGACACCTAACTGACTGAGCCACCCAGGTTCCCGAAAGTAAAGATATTCTTAAAATAATTGCCTCAGCCACTTTTTTGTGTACAAATAGCCATTCTAGCTAAAACCCTCATATTTCCTATTTTCATTTTCCTTCTCTCCTGATAGAAACTACGCTAGGTTCCGGCAGAAACCTTTGCAAAGATGCAGTCTGACTCAGTGGGTCGACAGGAACATGCGAAGCCACCATCGATTCCAGCGTCTCCCGGACTTCCAGTCAAGTCCATTTGTCTCATCCCATCAGCAGTGAAGGTCCCTATCCAGGGTCCTATTCAGAGCAGCATCTCATCTTCTGCTCTTTTGTGCTTTGTAGATTCTGAATTTTATTTTTCACAAGATTTTTATTTAAAGAACTTGTCACCTTTTGGAAATTTCCATTGCTGACTTGAAATTTTTTTGTATAAGGCCCTTCTTGTTTGTCTGTGTGCATGCATTTAAGCACTGTACGTTTTAATTTTTTAATTTAAATTGAAGGTGGCCACTTCTTGAAAGCCAGCATTAAGCCAGAGTACTTAGGCTCGAGCAAAACACCCACCTCAACACAGAGGTGATGTCTATTTCTTGTGCTGAAAAGAGAACCATCTTTTAATCTCCTATAAGGAAGAGATTACCAGGCTGCAAGCCAGTGTTAATTATTGCTGATGACTTATAAATGGGCATAAGTCACTTTTAACAATGCCTCTCACTTTTTTATTTGAATCTCTGAGTATTTGCCAGTATTTTAAAGTTGGTAATCCAGGACATTTGAAGTAGGTTGGAGCAGGACAAAAATCCTGTTGTTGAAAGGACAAATTAAAAGTGTAAATCTTCTCTCCTTTTTGTACTTACTAGCTGCCTTTATTTATTTTCTTGCCTCCCCCTTCTTCATTAAATGTGTTTTGCACAATAGGTTTACAAATCTTACACATCTTAACTGACGGAAGACTGCTGACTAACCCTTGTCGATTTGTGGTCTTGTGACTGATTGTCTTCTCTGCCTTTCCTCAAGGATTTTCCTTCTTTTTTCCCCAGTGACCATTATGCTCCTTAGGTTCTATTGGTGTGTTCCTGTATCCTGTTAAACCTAGATATGCCTCCTAAGAACAGCCTCCCTGCTCTCTTTATTAAGAGCTTCCCACCCAGAGTCTTAACTCCAGGACAGGCCAGAAAGCTGCTGAGGTGTGAGTTGGTCTTCAGTTTCATCTGCTCGACTCCCAGCTCCAAGTATCAGTTGCTGTGTCAGTCAGTGAGCTCCGGCCTGTCAGAGGGACTTGGGAGAGCCACTATTTTGTCTCCATTGATAGTTAACAAGAGGTGCCTTCAGCTTCCGGATGTTACTATCTCACTTGGTCAAAGCTCTGATACATAGTTGGACAGAACTGCTGTCGTGCATCCTAATGTGGTTGCGATTGAGCCTGTGGACAAAACATTACCCGATGTGACGGTTTGGTATTCTAGATTGAGATGTCAGACTTTGTGCCGCCATCCTCGGGGATGTCTGAGGAGTTTGTTCTTCTTTACAGATGGCTCTAGACAGATTTGGGGAGGCTTTGCAGTCCGGCATTCATGCTGTTGGCCACCCTCTGTGAAGGCTGGACACGGTTGCTGTAGCGCTGCCGGTGGTACTGCCTAGCTGCCTCTTGTCTGGTTTTGTTTTCATCAGCCCCACCTTTGTAAGTGAGAAACCCATCTTAAACACCCTACCCTGCTTTAGAAACTGACTTGGGAAAGGTTTGGTCATTCACGCCGTCGATCATCTTAGATGGATATCCTTAAGTGTTTACTGTTTTTATGTAGGTGAGGATTCTCTTCCTTGAACATTTGGTTTAAAATCTGGGACCAAATGCAAAGAAGTTCTGTTCAAAGGCAAGAGTCAAAATCTGTGATTTCAGTTGGCATAATGGACATTTACTGCATTAGTCACTTCTCCAGGTTTCCCTCAGTTAGCATGATGGAGTAAGATAAGCAGACATCTACCTTTGGAACCATAGCATAATAAAAATTAGTTGTAGCTGGAATAACTAGTGTTGTAGCTGTCTAGTTCCCCCACAGAGTGGGGAACTCAAGGAGCGAAGGGACAGCATTTTGCTTAAGCTCCTGTTCCTGCATTCCTGGTGAAGGAGGGTTTAAGTCTGAATGTGTAATGGCAGCATTGCCTTTGCCAAATGAGTGATGGGTTAACTAGAAAATGTGACAATCACATTTCCTCTTTGCTCAAGTAATTCTGTTTTTCCAAAGTGTTAGCAGCTTAATTAAATCTGTTGGACTGGGGGAGGAGAGAACTGTTCTCTAGTGGTTAACACGGTATTCTTTAAGAAGGAAAAAAAAGCAAAAGAAAACTCAGTATTAGGCATGTTTGCCTTGAAGATGGTAGTAGGTAAAATCTGGAGTTTTAATCTGTTTTTAAAGGTTCCTATCTCATACTTGGTGTTGGGTTCTCAGTCTAGTAGTTCATGAGTTCTTGCTGTATTTTATTTGAGTAAGGGTTACGTGCACTTAACTGCCTACCTAACTTTTTTCATTCGTGAGGTTCATGAGGTTCATGACGACATTCTCACCACAGAGGTCTTGGCAAAGAGTTAAAACATGCTGTTCACGTCGTGTATTCATGAGAGCCTGCGGTAAGCTTGTGCAGGCTTAAGGGACTGGAGTTGTGAGGATCAATTACAAAACTAAAGTTTGGTGCCTCCTCTTTATCATGTTTTTTCCCTTGTAGCAGTTGTGTTTAATGTCATTAAAGAGAAATAAAAGTTCTTCTCGCGGCATATGTGCTGCGGCTGTCTGTTGCAGGCTTTGAAGGCGGTTTCCTTCCTCTCCTGCGTAGGCAGGTTAGTGGGGTCTGGGCGGGGGTGGCAGTTAGTAGAATGTGGTACTGGGGAGGCGAGGGTGCGTGCTCCCTGTTCTTTTGAGGGTAAATTACAGTGTTGAGAAAGGCCTTCCAGCAGTTAAGAAATGTTGAAATTGATTGGGATTTGCAGCTACCTATAGTGCATGTCAGGAGCCTGACATAGGGGATGCCTGAAATACCACGGCGCTGCTGTTTCTGCAGCGAGTGGAGACGGCCCAGCCCCATCAGACAAGCACTGCCTTCCATTCCCTCCCGTGGCCGTGCGATGGACCTCTGTCTGCCTCACTCAAGCTTTACCCCAGGGCATTCTCCCTTTGAAAGGGATATGGGACCCACCACTGGTCATACAAAATTGATGGTGGTTCTTAATCCAACTTCTCCAGAAACTGACTGCTCCTGGGAGCTGGGGTGAGGGTGGAGTAAGTGTGGGTAGATGTGGGGGACGTGACGTTGCTTAGATCCCTTTTGTGAACCTGAGCTTAGACTGACCCCAGGAGACAGGGTGAAGGCAATAAAAGCTTGTCACCTGTATTAGCCAATGCTTTTAAAATCTCCACTCATGCTGAGAAAATAAGTAGCAACATGTTTGGACATGTCTTGCTGTGAGGTAACTTTTGTCTAATGGATATTCTACAGTCCAGGCAAAAGCTTCAATACAGATTCGCTAAATACTCAGCTGTTTGATGCTGTCTCATTCAGAGGTACTCTGGACCTGTACATATCATTTTGTTTCTGTCCGGTAGAAAGCCTTTTGTCTGGTAGTTGCTTATTGCCTTTTCAGCAAGGTGTTACTGCGGCCATCAGAGGCGTCAGAGACCAGGCTGCATTCTCCGAAGTGGTGGTCTTCCTCACCCTTAGTTCGTTTTATGTTACGGAAAGTGAGGAGGAGGAGAAATGGACCTTCTCTCAAAAGAATGGGGTCATTTTCTAGCCTGTTTTGAGCTTTTTACAGGAAGAAGAAAACAACCCCAGCCACCTAAAACTAGAAAGCAGGGATCCCTGCTTTACTTTGTGTTGTCCTGCTTTTCTAAGGGAAAACAGTTATTCCTGCGCTGGTTCTGGGGTATGCTTGCTTCCTTCATATGTCAGAGCACCTGTCAGGAAAAAAAATTTCCACTTGTCACAGGAAGTATCAGCTAGCTGGTCAGTGGTGGAACTCCTTAATGAACAAGCGCCTGCCGCGTCAATCCTCTCCACCTGTCCTCCCCCAGTGACAACGGAACATGCCACAGACAGAAGATCTGAGCCTCCCCAGCACCCTCTGAAAAGGGGGTGGAATGTCATCTTTTGGACAACCTGTAAAACACTCCATGTGGTAGCCCTGAATCGTTAGCGTTATCATTAAGGAACTATTCGTATATGAGGATCTCCTTTGACTTAGCTTCAAGTGACACTTGGGGGTTAGGGAATATAGTGCTGACGGAGTTTGGTGGCGTTTGACTGGAGCCAGGGGGTGTGTCCCATTTATGGAAGCAGTTCATTCTTGGAGGCCACTTAAAAGCAAAATCCAAAAACTCAAATAGGTTTAAAGAGGGTGAGAAGGAACACAGCAGTCTAAAATGTCACATGACTGCAGTGGTATGATAGGACGTACTTTTGTAAAGAGCTGAATTCGAGATCTTAAAAGTGGATTCCAGATGCCACCCTGAAAAGCCTGGGTTGAATGGACAGGATCAGAAAGAGGAAAGGACTCCTGCCACACGGAAACACCACCCTTTTTCCTCTACCAGACCCTGGGGCTTCCCTCTTGTTCCTAGGAGGAAGCCCCCTGGCTCCTACTCCAGGTGGTAGGTGGGCTCTAGGATCCTGTTCTTCACAAGGAGCACCCCCCAGAGAAGTAGCTGGCCCGAGGGGTCACTCAGTGACAAGGCAGGCCTTGCCTCTCGTCTGGCCATGCGTGACCTGCAGGTCAGGCCTCTCAGTCTCCCAGGAACTTGCCTACACCCATCCCAAGCTGTGAGGAATCTGTGGGTCTAGGTGGTGAAGAGGGGCCCCCGTTCCAAGTCCTAGCTGTAGGGTTCTCTGCATGACAGCTGGTCTAAGAAAAGCTCCGTTGTGGAACTTGGGGTTTAGGGAGGTAACCACAGTGAATGGGGTTTATCTAAACCAGAAGTGTTCACTCCTCCCGTCTCCCTCAGGCCCTCAGCGGAGGTGCTAGAGGCCCTGGTAAATCCCTGGCCCCCACAGCTGTCTCTGGTCCTGGCGTGGACGTAGGGGCTTCTCCGCCACATGGCACTAGACAGGCACACATGACAGAGGGCCTGGCCAAGTATCTTTCTCTGGTGTGGTTTAGAGTTCTGGGTGCCAATAGATTTCTCCTTTCCCACCCAGCCTTTAAGACTTGGCTTTCCTCCTCTTGGAACCTTCCAGAAGAGTCTACCCTAAGTCCCCCTCACCTGACCTCTTCTCTCCAGCTCTTGCTGGCTCTGGACAGGAGTGTTCGAGGTGTCCCATTTACTCGTTTGCTCATTAGCTAATGACATCATCACTCCACCTTTCAGCCTGCTGTTGGGATCCGAATGATGTTCCTTTAACCGCCCCAAACAGCATGCTGGGACTACTGAGCTGCCGCCAACAGCTTCTGCAGATCTCTTCCCTTCCTTCCTCACCCTGGGGAGAAACCAGAACTGCATTCCTTTGGTCAGGGAAAACACCCAGCCCCACCCAGAGGGGAAAACCCTTCGTTCTAAAAACTGAGCACCAGCCCGCGTACCTGTGTGGTGAGGCAGCCTGAGCTTGGATTTGGGGGCCTCGGTAATAGGACGATGGAGGAGCTATTTTCTCCTCCTACACGTGCACCCCCATCTGTTCGAGATTTCCCTTCCAGCTCCAGCTTGGCTGGCAGGCATGTCCCTAAGAAGCTGCAGGCCAAAATGGAGAGAGAACTGACGTCCCTCCTCCACACATCCTGACTGGCTGCCAATTGCCAGAAAAAGAGGGCAGCATTTGGGGATTTACCAGAAGACAAGGATGTGCCTTTTCATTTGTCTTTTATTTTACATTTAAAAAGAGGTTATTGCTCTAACTGGATCAGAGGTAAGGACCTCTCCACTAAGGAGCCTTGGCCTTGCAGCCCCATTCAGCAGGGATGGAAGTCACAAGACAATGAATGGAGCCTCATGCCCTTCCATGAGGAAGCCCTTAGTATTGCTGACATCTGCCTTTTATCCTGTCTCTCCTCCCTCCCTGTGCTGCCACGTCGGGGCCAAGTAGAGTGGTGGCTGACCTAGCCAGGAGAGCTCTTGTAGACCGGAAAGAAGGGGCGGTCATTGGGTGATGGCTCTCAGCTCTCTGGCTGGGGGGCCACTGCTCTTAACATTCAGTTCAACAGGTATTCACTGAGCGCCTACTGGGTGCCAGGCTTGTGCTAGGCGCAGTCCTCCCACACGCCTGTCCTTAGCCACCAACGGAAGGCACAGAGGTCCAGCTCTTCCCATGCAGGCATTCAGCAGCCATCACTTGTCAGTCCGAGGGAAGAGTCTGCCTTCCCTTAGCAAGCACCATTTTGTTTTGTTTTGTTTTGTTTACCAGAAAGGGGCAGTGGAGAGAGAGACCTGACACCTCACACCACTCAGGCTCTAGGGAAGGACATGAGGACCCTGGGTAGCTTTCCCAGAACCCTGGATGAGATGGCAAGATATGGAGACCCCAGAGGCCAGGGCTGCTCTGATTTCCACGGTAATGGCTCAGGCCTGCCTTCCAGCACCTTCCACTCCAGAGCAGGCGACTCAGTAGCCCCCGGGATGTCCCACGTGGACATACCTTTTCAGTTGCATAACCCAGCATTGTTCCAACTCCAAGAGACTCATCCTAAAGAAATGGGGCCAGTACCTCCCAGGTCTCTTTCCCACTTTGTCTTCTTAAAGGCTCCAGACTAATAATATTACAGTCGAATAAGGGCCAAAGAAGATGGAGGCTATAGGCAATCAGCTTGGAGCATTCCTTTGCCCCCTGGAGTGAAGCCCTTCAGTCATGTTTTCCAAAAGAGACAAAACAGAACATCTCACACACTCGCCGAGTTGTGCATCACACCACAAACAAGTCCGTGATGGCTGGATCCAGAAAAAGCTTGCTGGCAGCCATGACCCTGCCCCATGGCTTCTGCGATGGCTCTCGGTCTGAAAGACACAGCTGGAGTCCGTCTAGGTGCTTGTCATCTCCCAGGAGCTTTGTGCAAAATTTTCTTGAAGAGGAAGCCAGTCCAGGAGAGGCGAGGAGGCAGAAAGAAGGCTGTGTCTTATGCAGCTTTGCCTTTTCCAGAATGGGGCCAGGCCTTTTAGTTTTGTGGCTTGTTTATTTTTTGCAGAATTTGGGTTTGTAGTTCAGCCTCCTTCACCAGACTAGGATGGGGAAGAGGGAGAACAGTGCAGCTAGCTGGGCCTCCCCCCACCGCAGTCCTCCCTGTCCCTGTGCCCATGGACCTGGAGACCAGCAGAGAAGAAAAATGAAATCCTTCTCCCTGCAGACAGGCAGTCATGCTTCGATGATGTTCACTGAGGGCTTGTTGGGAAACTGGGAGGAAAAAAATGAGAGAAGCAGCCAGGGCTAATCGAATAGACTTCTTGCAAAGTTGGAAGTTAGGGGAGGACACAAGAAGGAAGGGCTGCCACCTAAAAGCCAGGCTTTCGTCCCGCGTGGAAGGAATGGAGTAGCCCTGTCTGCGTGTCTCGTCTCTCTGCCTTCTCAAACCCAGCCTTCGGCCTCACTCAGCGGCCAAGACTGGGTGCCGGGCCCTCGAACCCCCTGGCCCCCGGTTCCACCCCCAGCAGAGCCATCCCGCCGGCTGGTTCTCTCCCATCCTGCAGACCTGCCTCTGAGCGCGGCCTCGGCCCCTGTCACTGTCGACGTGCTTCTGGAGATGGGGGTTACTAAGAGGCTTCAGGAAAATGCGCCAGAAAGAGAGAAGCCAAGAGAGAGGACAGTAAGCCAGGGGGTGTGAGGAGATGGAAGGAGGAGGAAATGTGGAGAGGGCCAGATGTTTGTTTGTTGGGTAATCATCGTCAGAGCCATGAGATCCTCCCACTTTTCTAGCGTTTCTTCTGAGCTGCTCAGAGCAAGCACTGACAAGGTTTTCATATCTGTTTTGCAGAAGAGGAAATGAAAGTGAGGCACCTGCTCAAGGTCACGCAACACGGCAGGAGCAGAAATGAGCCCAGAACCCCCTATTCATGCTGTCCCACACCAACCAAGCATTCCACCCTCCCCACTCACTGCATTTTGTTAACCACACTGGTCCTGGTACCCGGCAAAAGGAAAAGGTCCAAAATCCACGTGCAGTGTCCCTGGGTCACAGTGGCAGTGGCCAAGCTCGGCTCTGCCCAGCCGCAGCCGCACCCGGTGCTGAGCTGTCCCCTGCTGCAGCCCCGGGGCCGCCCACCCGGCCCAAGATCTGCCCTCACCTTGCTGCGGAGGAGACCCCCTTGGTGCTCTGGTGTGCTGGTTTCTGACGCGCTCTTTGTTTTCTCCTTGTTGTTATTGGGTTCATTGTCCTTGATAATGTCATACTGGCGGCAGAAGAGGGCAATGACGCCTGGGGGATGATGGCGGGGTGGGGGTGGGGGGACAGGGAGAGCAGTGAGAGGCCAGAGGTCGAATCCCGGCCGCCTCCTTCATTCCTGCTGGCACCTTCTGAGCACCTGGTAGACACTGAGCTCCAGATGGCCTCTGTCCTGCACTGCTGCAACGGCCTGCCTCTGGCTCCTGTGTCCCCCTATTCCCCCAGCAGCCATTGCTTTCGCTGCTGCTGGGCTGGGCTTCCCACAACACGCATCTGATCCATCTCCCCCTTTCCTTCGTTACACCCCTGACAGCTCTCCATTCCAGTTAGCGAAACAGACACAGTAACATGCGCTGAGCCGGGCACGGTCACGGCCGATGCTGCCGAGCCTGGGGAGCGCCAGGAGGGCACCTCTCGTTACCGTCACCGGGCCACCAGTGAGGACACTGATGCAGAGAGCCCAGGAACCTACTTGAAGTTCCACAGTGGGGGAGCCCGGATGTGCACTCCAGGGTCTGCACTCTGCTAAATGCTCGCTATTAGCAAGCTACTCACTCGGGAGCTTGATAGTTCTTGAAAGTCAAATGCGATTAAGGAAGCCAGCGCCAGTGCCTCTAGGAGTCGTCTCCATTTTACCTCTGCTTTATGTAGAGCGCTCTTTCCTGATCTACATGCTTTAGGTCCTATCTTTTGACTTTCCACCACGGTAGATACAGGCCAACATCTCCCCCAACTTCCTTTCCCATCATCCTAACAGAAGCATATCACAGTCTTGGGTTAGTCCACCATGTTTATATTGTTACGATTGTATTAATACTGTGTATTTATAATGATATAATTATATAATGATATAGAATGATATATCTTATCATTCTATATCATATCATTATATGTTTATATAATGATATTATAAATTATAAATATTATATATTTATAATGATATATGATAAGGCACCACAAACCTCTTTTGTACAATCCTTTGGTTTTTTTACCTTTTTTCTTTTTTTACAGGTGCCTGTTTTTTGATGTGCCTACAGAACATTTTTTCCAAATGCTTCTACAATACAGGCTGTCCTTCAACTGCCATGCTAAGACAGCTTTGGCATGCTGTTCGAATCTCTCAAAACGGACTCCAGCCAACTTTATAGACTCGCCATCCTTCACTGTCCCCTTTCTACTTTCTCTCAGTCCACAGCTACACTGAGTCAGAGTGAACTGAATTTGTTTCTTATACACCCTGTCAATAGAACCCTGTTCCTTTTTTTTGTCTGCCTGGTGAACTCCTATTCATCCTTCAAAGCTCAATCCCCATGTTTCCTCCTTTCTGTGTTTTTCCTAATTTCTACTGCTAGACCTAGAATTAATTCCCCCTCCTCTGCCCCCATACGTGGCACTCATCACACTGAATTATATAGTCAAGTAGGGACTTGGCTTCTCGCAGACCCAGTTCCTACAAGCCCCGGGCTCTTCTTAGTCACGACTAGTACTATTATCTGGAATGGAGTGGCCATTCAGAAAATGCTGGTTGAGTTAAGAACTGAGATGAAATGTGTTCTTTATCCTTGGGTAGCTCACAGACAAGTGGGAAAAGGGAGAGACATGAGCCCAATGACCTCATCTAAGAGGAGCTACAGGGAGAGACAAGCAGTGCCATGCTCACGGATAGACTAGGGAGATCCTAAGGAGGCGGACTCAGGACTGGGCTAGGAAGACTAGGTTACGAGGCTGTCCCAACCCTGAGCCCCTGGAGGCCCGACACCCCAGAAGGAGGCATGGCCGCCACAGCCATGGCCGGAAGGCATAGGGGCTTTGGGTGTGTCCACCCCAGGAGCCCGAAATACTCCCGAGGGAGGGAAGGGCAAATGCTCAAATAACCTGTCCTCCAAGGCAGCTAGCTCTCAATCCGCTAAGTTTCTCGGGAGAGGTAAGCCAGCGAATGGGTCCCATCTGGTCCCCAGAGCAGGACTTCGAGACTTCTCCCATCACATCTCAGCGGCCTCCGCTTCTGGGAGAGAAGGGGCCTGGCCTGGGACTTCCGTTCCGCAGAGGCCAAGTGAGGCAGGGACGGGAGGCACTCACCAGCCCACATGAACAGGACCACGACGATGATGAGCACCTCGCCGGTCCGCAGCTGTTGGCTGCTCCCCATCTCCTTCATGGTCACCTCATCTGTGGAGAGAGAGAGAGACACTGGCCCGAGGCTCTTTTCGTCCCCAGCCCCTGTTTTAGGGCTGGGCCCAGGATCTTAAGCGCTTATCTCTATAGGTGCCTGGACACCTAACAAGAGATTCCAGAACATGCTAATGGCTACTTGCAGCGGCAGCAACAGGGCTTGACCCAAAGCTGGGAGTTGATACCCCCACGGTAGGACACTAGGGTGACCTCCTCTCTCTCAGGTACTGCTTTAGTAGGCGCCAGGGGTCGGGGGTCCGGGGAGGTGGTGGAGGCTGCTGCTTTCCTCAAGCTGCCCACTGCTCTGCCCCTGACCACCCCTCACCCCAGCCAGTCCCCCCAGCAGGGCCGGGGCCTGCCTTTGTTCTTGGATGCCATCTTCTCTGCCTCGCGTGGGGTCTTGAAGAGCACGGGCTCGCTGGCCGGACTCTGGCCCTGAATGGAGATGGCCTGCACGTGCACAATGTACTCGGTGTCCTCCTCCAGGTCCCACAGGGCGCATGAGCGGGTGGTGGTGTTCACTTCCTGAATGAAGCGTAGCATCCGCACGTCCTTCTTCTGCCAAGGCAAGTGCCAGGCCCGCTGTCGGTGGCGCCTGGCCACCAACCCCACTGGGCCCCCCTCCTGGCGGCGCCCAGGGCTCAGCCGACTACGGAGCTAAAGCCTTCCACACATAGGCTTCCTCACACCCCTCGTCTCTGTAGGCGGCTAGGACCACTGCTAGATCCGTTTGACAGAGAGGGAGACAGTGCGGGTGCGGAAAACTTAGAAAAGCTGCCTAAGGCCGTCTCTCCAGTGAGAACTTGCACTGGGTCCCACACTCAGGTCTGTGTGAGATCAAAACCGGACTTTTGGTGCCCAGTTTCCAGTCAAAGGCCCCAGAGCCTGCCTCACCAATCCTTTTCCCGCTGGGGTCCCCATTCCAAGCCACATGTGCAATTCTTCTGCCTGTCTTCTCCTGCTCCTTTATTTCTTTTTCCTTTCCATTTCTGCACACCCGCCTCCCCATCCCCTGCTACTGTCTGGATGTGTCCTTCCCTCCCAGTCCCTCAAGGGTTACCTGCTGAGAGATAGCAAATCCAATGACGACCTCGTCCTCCAGGACGTCCCAGCTCACCACTGCGGAGTTGGCCTTGAGGTGTCTGACAGTGACATTCACGGGGGCCGAGGGGCTGTCTGGGGGTGGGAAGGCACCTGAGCCTGAGCACCTCCTGCTGGGAGGCCCAGGCCCACGGTCTCCTAAGCGGGGACCTGGGGAAGGCCACACAGTGGCGGAGGTTGGCACACAGGTCTCAGTTCGTTAGTGCTTGAACGGTGAGGCCCAAGAGGCCCCAGGCTCCTCGTATCCAGGGTGGGAGCCTCCACTGGTCTCACTGGCCCTATCAGGGGTCCAAGCGAAACCTGAGAGGCCTGGGCTGGGGCCAGATCTAATGGAAGGGTGGGAAGGGGTGGGGCAGGCACGGGGCGGGGGTGGGGGGTTGGGAGGTGGGGGGGTGGGGGCATAGGTGGCCAAGGTTGCAGGTGCTGAAAGTCAGCCTGATGAAAAGCAGTCAAAAGGACTCCCAGTCTAGTGCTCTTTATACAATACCACACTGTCAGGTGAGTGACCTTGAGGGAAGGAGAAAGACCCAGAGGTCAAGAAGAGCCAGGCTATTCGGCTCAGGTCATGATCCCAGGGTCCTGGGATCGAGCCCCGCATCGGGCTCTCTGCTCAGCGGGGAGCCTGCTTCCTCCTCTCTCTCTGCCTGTCTCTCTACCTACTTGTGATCTCTATCTGTAAAAAAAAAAAAAAAAAAAAAAAAAAGAAGAGCCAGGCTAGGGTGAGCGCTGGGTTCGGAGTGAGGATCAAGAGAAGAATCCTTGGTATCCCAGTGAGGCAGACAGAATGCAGCCTGGGGAGGGGTCGACGTGAGCTGCTTCTCCACACTCTGCCAGCCCCGAGAGGCAGGTGGGGAGGTGATAGGGGAAGATGGGGTCACTCAGAGTAGGTTCTCCCAGGGGAGAGGCAGGAGTACAGGGTAGGCAGGGTCTTGACTTGGGAAGAGGATGAAAAGAGTCAGTCGAGAAAGGAGTAGGAGGGAGAGTGACCGGGACGGTGGAGGTCAGGGCAGGAAGAACCTCTCCTAGAGTCACACAGTGTGTATGTAAGCCTCCCAACAGACGAGTGCGGTCAGGGGAAGACCTAGCCCTGACCTAGCCCTGAGCAGCACCCTTTGGCCCACACAGGAGTGGACCTGAGGCCCCAGGGGCTGGGCCTGGGGCGACAAAGCCATCTGTGGAGACAGAGACAGAGGGACACAGACAGGTGGCGGCAGACACAGAACCAGAAAACAGACAAGTGGGCTATCAGAGACAGACGTAGAGAGGAAGCAGAGAGAGAGAAAGCACTGAGCCACAGAGAGATGGGTAGAGGAAGCGATGAGAGAGGCGCCAGAAGCTAAAGGGACAGATACAGAGCCTCAGGAGAGGCTGGGCTGGGTGAGGATGAGGCCGGTGCTCCGGGCAGGCCTGACCCTGACTGCAGCAGGCTCAGGGGTCCACCCCACCCACCCCAGTCCTAGGGTGCCAGTCCCCATCCCCCTCACACTTGCTCATGCAAACCCGGACCCCATCCTGCTCTGACCCGCAGAGTTGTCCTGCAGGGCTTTGAGGACAGGGAGGGAGGCCCATGGTGGGGGGACTGGTGTCCTCAGCTGCTCCCCAGGCCAGAGAAGGGAGTTCAGCTCAGTCACCTGAAGCAAAGGCCTGCGGTCAGGGCCAGGGGATGATGGGACTAGGGATCGCAAGACCCTGGACCCCAAGGCTGGGGTGGCCGGCCGGGGGTCGGGAGCTGGATGACAGGCCTGGGAGTCAAGAGGTGGGGGAGAGGCAGGGGCCGGCTTGGGGGGCGGGGAGCAGGAAGGGGCCCGAGGACTCCCGCCCGCCCGCCCGCCTGCCCCGCACCGGCCCCCCAACCCGGGCCCCCTTACCCGCCTGCACCAGCGCGAGGCAGACGTAGCCCAGCCACAGGCGGAGAGCGGCGCGGGGCGGCCCGGGGCGCATGGCGTCTCCTCCGGCCGGCCGGCCCGGGGCGGCGCAGGGGGACGCGGCTCCCGCGCCCGGCGGCCGCTGGCGCTGGCGCTCCCGCCCGCTGCCCGCCCCGCCCGGCCGCCCCGCGCCGCCCCGTGCCGCCTGCATGTCGGCTCCGCGGACAGCAACTCCCGCGCGGCGGCGGCGGCGGCGGTGGCGGCGGCGGCCGCGTCCACGTCGGGCGCCCGGGGGGCGGGGCGCCCCAACTGCGGGGAGAGGCGCGGGGCGGGGTGAGGGCGGAGGGCGCCCCCCCCGCCCCCCCCCCCCCCGCCCCCCCGCCCCCCCCTGCCCCCCCCCCCCCGTCCCCGACCCGGCCCCAGCCCTGCCCTTCCCCTGGGAGAGGGAGGTCGCGCGCCCCGACACGTATTAGTGTCCCCCTGTCCCCACCGCCCTCCCTCGGCCTGGGGGTCCCCACCCCCTACCCCACCCCACACCCGAGGCCTTTCCCGGCCCGGGACAGACTTGAGCAGAGGGGAGTGTCACAGCGGGGGATGGGAGCGAGACTGGAGTGCCGAGTAAGTGCAGCGGTGTATACAGTAAGTGCGGCCGGGAGGACGGTGCTCAGACTCACTGGAGACCTAGCTCTGTGACCCCGGCCAGTCCTTCCCCTTCCTTGGGCCTCCATTTTTGTCTCCGTGAGAATAACAACCCGCACCCATTAGGTGCCAAACGTTGTGCCAAGAGCTTGACTTGCATCGTGCCGCTTCTCCCCGAACCGCTTAGGAGGTGCTTTGTGACCCCCGTTTCGCACAAGAGACTGCAGCTCGGAGAGGTCACTTGACTTGCCCAAGGACCCACAGCAGAGCCAGGATTTGAACACAGGCTGATCTGACTCCCACGCGTGTGCTTGACTCCATTGTCTCCCCACCCAGAGTGAACTCACCCACCCCACCATGCCTGAGATCCTAGAACTTGCCTGTGCCAGTTGTTCCCCAGCCAGAGAACAATCTGGAACAATCTCTTCCCAAGAGGGGTGAGGGAAGAGTGGCTCGGCCCCCTCCCTCACCCTTCTGGCCCCCCTGAGTGCCACGAGCTGGGGAGGAGCTAACGAGATTCTAGGGGGCTTTGGAAACTGGGCAAGTCACCAAAGCCAATAAAGGGCGGGGATGGTTCCTTCCTCACCACCTTGGGACCACCATATGCCTACTGCTGTCCCTACCTCGGTCTCACACTCTCTTCTGCTCCACCCACCCCTTTTTCTGTTCTTGAAGAGGCACAGAGCTGCCCTTTCCCTGTACCTGCCACCCTCTCCCTAACGAGGGGACCTCCGCAACAGCGGGCGGCCAAAGGCAGCCCCCCACCTTGTGGCACTCCACCCTGAGTCCCAGTCAGAGAAACTAGGATGCCTTGCTCCAGGGTGGCACAGACCAGGGCCCCAGGGCCCCCGGCAAGGAGAGGCCCCCACGTCTCCAAATAAGCCCCTCCCCCCAATCTGAAATTCCATCACTAGGGGGCATTCCTTTGGGTCTTTAAGGGCCTTTTGGTCTTCCAGAAGCTCCTGGAAGGGCTAATCCTTTTTGAAAAGGGACAACTTTGCAAAGATATCCCACAGAATGTCTTCCAGATCTCCCTCGCACACATTTGAGATTGATAAACTGAGGTCCAGAGATGGAAAGAACTCCCCGAAATTCACACAGGGGTTCAGGAGCAGCCGTGGAGCCCTCCTCTCCCAATGCCCACTCCAGGACTCCCTGCATTGACCCCTCCCCCCAAGTTTCTATGGGTCACCTTGGAAAGGGTAGGATGGGAGGGGGCTCTGGGGTTCTTACTGAGAGCCCTTCGGTACGGCCAGGCCTGCTCTGCTCGGCGGGCTGAAACCCCCAGCCCCATCGGCTTCCCCAGCCACATACCTTGTGCTGGGGTGAGGCTCATTTGGCACCACCACCTCTTTGGGGCCGGAGCCAAGGAACCAAAGCACTTCTCTCTCCTGTCTCTCTCTTCACCCGGCAGCTGCCTTCAGCCCCACCCCGCCCGGCCCCACCCCACCAGCTGCAGCTTGGCCCTTAGGGACCCCACCCTCAACCCCAGCAGGCAGGAAAAGACATCCCGGGGCCTGCAGGAGCAGCTGGAGCCTCCTCAGGCCTCATCGCAGGAGCCAGCAGGCAGGAGAGGGGTCAGCTAGAGGTCACAGAGTCTACTCCTGTCCCCGCTAGGGAGAAAAAGAGAGAAGGGAGAGGGTCCTGGTGGGGTCTGGAGGCCAGTCTAGCGCGGGGGAAGGAGGCGCCACCTGCTGGCCTCTCCAGGTATAATCCCGGGTAGATGTAGGGCACTGGGGGTGGGGTGATGGCGGCGTCTAAGGCTTTGAGAGGGAGGGGGAAAGTGGTTGGAGGAGGGCGTGAAAGACAAGGAGGATTCGGAGAGTCGTGCCTGTGGGGGTGCAGCCTTCCCGGGCCCCAGGTTGCACGGGGTGCTTGGGCATGACCACAATTCTGGGGAAAGCCTTTGATGCCTGCAGTCTGGCAATCAGTGGAAGCTGGTTAGGAGGCCGTTAGAGTTGGGAGGATTTGGAGGCCCTGGTGATCTCCGGAGGACTTCAGGACCCGTTGCTGTGTGTGCACCATTTGTACACCAGCTCTTAGCACAAGGCTACAAGCAGTAGGCACTCAATAAATGTGTGTTGAATATATGGAATAAATTTGCTCTTCCGACATATATCTATTGAGCACCTATTATGTACCCGGCTCCGTGCAACATTCTGGAAATACGGCAGCGGGAGAATGAATAAATGCGTGAGTGAGGATCTAGGCGGGGATTGAGTGATGGACCTCTGTCCTCCCAGGCTGCACTGGTTTCTCTTTGGATGACTCCACAGACATCTCCTAGGGGGCTGGCTGGAGTGCCCAGACCTACCCAGAGTCCCAGTACCTCACTCAGGCTGCAGGCGCCCAGGCCGGACCCCAGGCAACCATTTAGAATGGGAAGGACTCCCCTTCATAGCCGATCCTCATGGCCCTGTCTAAGGAATTCCCTAGATACACGCACCCCCAGTCACAGGAAGAATGAGAAGGGCAGGAGAATGCTTTGGGTATATAAATAATCAAGCACCTACCAAGAACTTGACTTTTTGTCCCTGTTATTCGGAGTCTTAGGCTGGCACATGTTATTAGCTCCCGTTCCAGATCAGGAAGCTGAGACTCAGAGAGGTGTGAGAACTTGCCCTGGATCACACAGCTAGTGAATTAGGGCGTTTAACCCAGGCTGCCTGCCTACCTCCTCCCCTCACCTCTGGGGCGTTCCTTCGGGCGGGGATCCTGGCCCAGGATTCACTAAAAAACATGCATTTTCCTTTCTTGTAGGGCATGTGGGGGCTTGCGGTTTACAGAGGCAGAGACTAAGACCAATCCAAGACTTCACCACTACCCCTCATCAAATGTTCTCCATGTGCTGGCACATTACATACTTCAGAGAAGCGGCTGAGGAGTCAGGATTGTTATACCCATTTTATAGGTGAGAAAACTGAGGCTCCAAGTGAGAAAGTGGCTTGCCCTGGGAGACACTGGTCTGACCTGTCCAATCCCTGAAGTCTCCATCATGGCAGGATGACACCAGCCCAGCTCAATATTTCCTGAGTGCCTGGGCCAGGCCAGCCTGGGCCTGGGTACTGAAGACATAGTGATGAACCAAATCAGTCCCAGCTCCTGAAGAGTTCTCATGGTAGAGAAGAGAGATATGTTTAAAACAGAGAGAAACGACCCTCTGGACCAGGAGGCACCAAGGATCCAAAGAGGTCAGAAGGGAGCATTAATTTAAAAGGAAAGCAGGGAGGCCTTCTGGGAGGAGGTGATGCCTGAGCTTAACTAGTACTGAGAGTCAGGTGGGAATTAGTCATATGAGGGGAAAGGGACAGAGGAAAAAAGGAATCTTTGGCAGGAGGTGGGGGGCTAGGAAGGGGAGACAGAGGAGGATGGTGGGGGTGGGGGGTGGTTTGCTACAAGCTCTGGGCTGTGATGATGGGAGCAGGAAAAACAGCCCTGGATTTGAAAGGCTGTTCCAGGCTGCAAGAGAAGTTGGACTAGGGAGGGCTTTATTCATGCCACAAGTCCTGGGGACATAGCCCCAACCAAGCTGATGAAATTCCTGCCCTCATGGATTTCACATTCCTGTGGGAGAGGCAGGTAATAAACAGTGAGCTAATGACTAAGTAAAATCCCTTCCAGGACTCCCAGGGGCTATGAAAAAGCTGGAGTGCTGGGTCCGGAATGGCTGGGTGGGGTGATGTGAGCTGGTGTGCTGTCAGGGTCCAGTCGAGGCTTTCTGATTGGGCAGAAGAGACCTCCTTGCATCTCTTCAGTTTTTCAGAATCTACAAAGGAACCGACTTCCATTGGACAGAGCCCAGAGAGGTTAAGAATCCTGCCCAACCTCACACAATTGATCAATGATCGCTCCATGCCTCAAACTGCCTCAAACCCCGGGGCCCATTTTACTCTTGTAGACAGATTCTCAGCTACAAACTAGGGTTCCCCGAGATCCTTCAAGAGCAATGGGGCCAGAGGACCTGGTTATAGGCCCAGATGTGGAGGGGTCTGCAGCAGGAAGTGAAGTAAAACCTCCTTCCTACCCAGGGAGGGGCGGAAGGACAAGAGCCTGGGAATCAGATGGCCCTTAGACTCCAACCTCAGCTCAACCTTGACCAGCTGGGTGACGTCAGGTACCACCATCTGAAGTCAGGGGCCAGCTTTGCGCAGTGGCAGTATCCAGTATCGTAGCCAATGAGGTTTATTCGAGGCGCGATTATTGCTAATTGTAGTCAGGGGCCAAGGCTGGATGGCCTACCCACCTCTCACATCCCAGGTACTAGAGGGCCTCCCTTGGCCTCAAAGGAACATGGTTCTGCAGAGCCAGGAATGGCCAGCAGAGGGCGCCTCCGTGACCATAGTGAAGCCAAGGTTGCCCAGAATAGGAAAGGCTCCAGGAATGCCGGGCCTTGGCTGGGGGACAGGGGGTTGAGGGGGAGAGGATGGTCGCTGGTCCAGGAGGCCAGCTGCC